GCGAACTTTCTTTTTCGATCGCCGGCAGCTGCACGCCGACATTATGCCCTCGAGTGGTAGTCTTTCCGCCCTTATCGATCGGTCGTGTCGTCAGCCCATTCAGTCACGGTCACAGCTGCTGTCGTATCCTGATTTTTCCAGCACGCCACGCCACGCGCCGCGGCACGACATGGTCGACCGGGGAAAATGCTCGACTTTCGCCCGAAAAATTGCCAACCTGACAGAGTCCTCCCAGCTGGAGCTTCTCAAACATTCTTTAGACTTTTGTACCTCTTCTAAAAACGTCATGGAATCATGCATAGTAATATTGAAAAATATTAAACACACTTTTTGTTATATTTATTTTATAATTTAAAGAACTTAATTCAAAATTTAATTAAAAAAAAAAAATAAAATTTTATTGAAGTGAGTAAACCTATCACAATGACCGTAGACGCTTCAATGAAATTTAAAAAAATCTTAATCAACAATTAAATAAAACATTTAAAAATATATCTTCGATTTTCATCAATCAAGTATCACGAAACACATAGATATGTAATAAGCAGTTGAGAACTGAGTACAGAGAACTGAAAAACGACTATAAACTCGGGCCTAAGTTTCCTTTTCGTAGAATTTATTTATAGACATCGTGTGAGAATTAGAATCATTATCAATGAATAATTTTCGAATCCGGTAAAAAACCTTTAGAATTTTGAAAGTTCAGCGAGAGCCTTGGAATTTTGATTAATTGTATTAACAAGATTTCAGGCTCGAGAGTTTCGGCACGCGCGTCCGTCGAGAGCCTTGGCCGAGCAAATGTGGCCTTCCGGCTCTCTTTAATCGTCGCAGAGAATCGTTCCTCGGGCTCTCGAACCGCTTCCTTTTTGCTCCCCGCTTATTCCTGCGATTATGGTTAACCCCTCTCGTTACTCGCCAATCTAAAACAATAAAGCGAGCGTAAAACCGCGATCCTTAAACCGTCTGTCTAACAGCTTCTGTAACAGTAAACTGAAACACAGACAGGTTTCTTATATTTCACATAACTTCTACAAATTACAAATAAATTTTTTACTACTATCAATAATTTCATAAACCGTTTACAATATTTTTTATTATTATACAAACAAAAATGAATAAAAATAATTTCGTGAACGTCATCAAAACGAAACCATTTAACTTAAGTAAATGATATATGACTATGAATTATTCTAAATTACCGTAGATTCTAAAGATTTCTTAGGAACCGCGTATCGGCACGCAATCGCATGATTTGCCGCGTAATTATGCCACTGAAATCGGACTCGAAATTTTGTTTGCGAACTCGGTTCGATCACACCACCGCCGAAATTGTGGGAAACACAGCGACAAACACTTTTCGACCCACGTTCTCTGGCGTCACAATTGTACGCAAAGAAAAACACGCCTCGGGCTTAAGCGATCGAGTCACGCGACACACGCGATCGCGTTCGACAAACTTATTTTCGGGGTCGTGTGTCTTGTTTTAGGAAGCCGACAGTGCGAGCTGAGTTAATAAAAAGTACTGAGTTATTTGATTATTAAAAGAAATATTCATCTGGCTATCGATGAAACAGATCAAAAAACGTCAAAGTTTTACCAACGCGTGTTAAAAAAGTCACGTGACTACCCTAGCTTAATATTTTAATGTTACGTGGGATTATAGAAAATCATTATATGTATTTATTCTATAAAAACAATATAATTTCCTTTGAACTTGATAATGTAAATACAAATGGAAACATCAAAGTACTCCTCATTATTAACAATTAAAAAAGATTGTATTCATGATGAGGAAATGTTAAATTATGTACAGGAAAAAATGCTACTTCAATTTCAATGATATTTCAATACATTTACTTCTTTCATTAAAAGGATGAACAAGAAAATGGAATGTTTTAATAGACTTCCGTTAAACGTAAATTATAGATAATTGCGACAGGCTTTGACTAAATGAAAACGTGCTGAGCAAACATTGATTCGAAGATTCTATCACGGTAGCCCTGGTACAGAACATTTCCGTTCTCACAATCATTGTCAGCCGTGAGTTTTTAATTGCAGCGCTAGAAACCAGAAGAAGAGAAGTCCTTTAGTGGAACTCTTTGTGTCTGGCACGCTTGATTTTTGTCTAAGATCGGTCTTGCGCGCACGCAAACGAAATAATAACAGTCTCTGAACACCTCGCATCCGGTTCTCCCGGCCGATATCAATTTCGGAACACCCCTTTCTCTCCCTTTTTCGTCTTTCTCTTGTTGACCCTCCCTCCTTTATTCCGATGTCTTTACTCTTGATTTTTTCTCTTTAAGCCTCGCTGCGAGCCTTCGAGTCCCCTCTTGCAAGTAATTCTTTTCTTATCTTATTTTTCCTGTTTGCTTAAACTATTCTCGTTCGTTAAAATTCGAAGGCCTTTTATTTTTATAATAAATATTTTAGAACATATTTAAAATTTACTTAACGCATTAATATTTTGGAATATAAAAGCTCAGTGAAAATTGTAACGTGATTTTTGAAGGGAAATGCAAATTTTCTCTAGTTGTATTTTTCCTGGTAACACGTGGGAACTGTACTTTCAGTCGTTTTCCGGGTACTTTCTCGTGAGACATCATTTTCCATTCCTCCCGCGATATTTCTCTTTTTCCCGCCCTGTCCTTTATTGAATTCCACCGCGGACCTTCTTTTACCCCCCGCCCGCCCTCTGTCCCCCGTCTTTCTCTCGAACATTTCCAGCCATTTCTTTCCACCCGTCGCTTCCATCTATCTTGGTATGTTTGACAAGTTTTTCTTCGACCACCGTCCTCACGTGGAACGCTCCCCTCCGAATAGATTCCACCCGCTCTTCATTTTCACCCCCTTTCCACAAGTTCCTATAAATTGACGATCTTCCGCTGTTATGCATAACGCAGCATCTAGATATTTTCGAACGAGAATTCCAGAAAATCTGACGAAATTTCGATCATCATAGACTCCGATTTTTATTTATAAAGATGTAATTTTGTTATTTCGGTAGAAGAGTTAACGGCCGATAACTAGGTGGCTTATTGTTGGATTCGCACTATATTTAGATCATTACTCGGTCCCGCGAGATCCAACCTAATGATGTCACATGCAAATGTACGCGATCCCTGGCGCGGCGCTTGTTAACGCATCGTTCAAGATTTTCTTGACCTCTCGCTTACATCACGGTTTTTCCACGGCTAGGCATACCTTCGAATCAAGTCAGCGATTTGACATTCTCTTCTCTTCCAAGAACGCAGCCGATGCAACGTGTGCTAAATTCGTACATTGAATTCTAATACCAACCGCGCAAATTGAGTTCAGTACACATGAAATTCTCCTGAATAAATCCTCAATCTCGTAAACGTACGTTCATTTAGTAATTATTTTCGATTGAGAAAATGAAACAATGACGTAAAAAAAAAAAAAAAAAATGATCCCGGTTGCTCTCTTTAAAAAAGAGGTTCGCGCGCGTCTTTTATCTTCCGTGAAGCTTCCTGAAGTAATTTTATCGCGGCGGCGTTCGGCGATACGCGGCGGCGAGGCTTTTAAAACTTCAAACCGATTTTCCTTGGCCGCAAGCACGGCCTCCGCATCTTTTCGTTGTCGCTTAAATTCGATGACTTCCTCGACGAGCATCTCTCGGCCGGTTTCGTCGTCGTCGTCGTCGTCGTCGTCGCCGTCCGCCTCTCGTGCCACTCGACGCTCCCGTCGTGAACGACGCTCACCGATGCGATCTTTAGATTGAGATACGCGACTAGATAAAGCGTGTTGCCGCTCTTACCTGAACTTTATTCATCGCTTGATATTCCGTAGACGAGATGTCACGAAAATTAATTATTTCCACTAACAATTACTATAAATTCATGTTTACGACAGTGAGTACGACACGTATTAATCTAACATCAGGTTGGTCGAGCTCTTAAACAAGAACGATGATAAAGGAGTTGTATGAACCCCTACATAAAAACAATGACAAAGCATTGAAATTTTAACAGTTACTAAACATTACATTAATAGAACACTGTACAAAATTATAGAAATTTTGTAAGCCTATTAAAAAAGTTATTACATCTTGAATTTGTATGTCGAATGACATACTGTGATAATTTTTTAATTATTATTTTATATTTTCGTGATAGATTTATTTATTTTAATTCATTTCATTATTGTATAAAATGTTTGTTTCTGATGAATACTATTTGGACACCCTGCCATGAACATTCTTTGCTGCATACAATAATAACGACGAAAATCGTAGTGTTAATACCTGGTGGACCAGCTTGTATAATACTCGACAAACGTGATAAGAAAAATCTCGAATTAATTTATAATCAATCCGAGCCTGATTGACGAACAGACAGAACCCGGATAAGTGCAGAGGTGCATTTAAATTTAAATTAAACGCGAGTTTCGTAAAGAGAAACAGCTGAAGATGCGAAGCGAGGAAAGGGAGCTTCACGAAGCAGGTAAAGTGGCGTAGGAGCATCTGTCCGTTGACCACCTGTCGGCAGGTGCAAAACGTGCTGGGCCCCTTTACCTGTACCCCGTTACCTTCGACTCCGGTATCAATTGGCTGCATGGCCCCCCTTTTTTCTCGCGACCACGCCACGTATTCCCGTTTTACTACGTCGTAATAACGCGTCCTATGTATGTCGCATCGCGCAGCGGATGTTATCGATTCTTACAGGATCCCATGGTGGTCTGCATCCTTCTTTTTCGAGCAAAACCTTTTAAACCCCGAGTCCCGTAAACAGGAAGTACCTTCCTTTCGCGTGTCCACCGACGCGAGCGTTTAGGCGAACACCTGCGCGCTTCGTTGTCCTCAGTTTCTTTTCAACCCTGCCCTTTGTGATTCGTCCCTATTTATTTAAGAACCGGTCCGAATGAACGCAAATACGCAATGTAATTTATGTAGTTTTTAATCAGTTTTCATTACGGATTGTGTACAGATTTTTATTGGCATTGTTACTGCTCGAAGTTAATCTGGGATGATGTTTATCTTTCAGGCTGCGATACTTCAGCAGACTGCCGAATACATTTACCAGCTGGAGCAGGAGAAGACCCAGTTGCTGTCACAAAACTGTCAGCTGAAGCGACTGGTGAATCAGCACGAGGGTGGCGACGTCCCAATCAAGAAACGTAAACCCGACAATCAGGGTGAGCAGATTATTACCATTATTATTGTAGTTTCACTTTGAACGAATGAAATGTAGAAAATGATTGGAGTATATTCTTGTTACAATAAAAAAAAAAAATCGTAAAAAATGTCGCGTTTGAAGTAGCAAAAATCCAGTAACGGGGATTAACTCGGTGCTAATTTACTAACGCGTATAACTTATTTTATGTAACTGACTCATCGGGAAAAATCGTCGCCGGAATTTTTTAATTTCTCGACTGAAACCGAGCGACGGCGACGCGACGGGGAGATTAATATTGGCGAGAATAAGAGAGAGGAGTCGTTCGTCATTTTCGCGCGAGTAATTACATTCCTGCACCCTTTGCCCGGTCCCGACGCTCGGATATTTCGCTCTCCGTTCGCGGCGGACACAAAAAAAAAAGATAGCCGTCAATAGGACCATAATCTCGTTTTACCATTCCTCCAGCCTGAGCCAATTGCATTAATGGATACTTCGGGAAATTTACAATTTTATTTTAGTATACTATTTCGATTTTCAGATTCCTCATTGAAATTCGTAGTTCTAATTTATTTGGGAATTCGATTAGATTTTTTAAATTCTTATTGTTTATACAAAATCTCCAACTTGAATATTATTTAAAAAAACTAAGACAAGAAGTTTATTAAGAGAGCGAACATTTATTAAGACAATAAAATTTGTCCAACACTCCAATCACTTAGACTTGCTTTGCACTACGAAATCTCTTGGTTTCAGGAGGCGTCATGGTTAGTTTGCCGATGCACGTTAGCGAGAGCGGCGACGAAGGATTGGGCAGCATGTCGCCCGAACCATTGTCGGTAATAACTGTGACCACGGAGGGACATTCCGTGGTCAACAGCGAGGTGGTCGAGCTCAGACGACAGTTGGAGAGGGAGCGTCACGCGAGGTTGCATCTAGAGAAGCAGATGAGGGCTATACAGAGCCAATTGTACCCAGAGAGATTCAGGGATAATCAATTGATCGCTTATCAGCCACACGAGGTACCGTAATAATTATTTCCAAACTTTCACTAAAGAACTAACATAATTCATGCGAGCATTACAATTAAGAGATGTTCATGCATCATCGTATTTCAGTTTTAATGTTCAAACTTTGTCAGTATATCCTATGGCACTGAATAGATATTAGAAAAGTAGGTCTTTAGATTTACCTAATTCGGAATTCGTTCGCACAGGTGATCGAGCACACGGACAACGTGATTGCCCAGGAAACCGAGGAAGCGGTGGCCGCGCTTCAGGTAGTATCCGTGGTCTCGTTGGCGTCTGTCGGCGCGACACAGACCGTGGAGGCGTCTAGTCCGGTCCCTAGTTCACCGCCACTGTCCCCGCAGCCGGCCGACATGGTACCGGTCGAGATCAAGGAGGAGGAAGTCGACTCGAGTTCACCGAAGATCGTCACATTCGCCCAAAACCAGGTGTTCTCCACGATCGAAGAACAGACGACCGGGGACTCGTTCTCCTCGTCGAGTCGCGTCGCGTATACGACGAGTACCGGCGAGTTCAAGAACGCGTCGCCTCAGTATATCACCACCAGCCCTAGCAGGCCGTTCTCACCAGCCGCGGAACCGCAACGTTTGCCCAGCGTGCTCGAAGCCGCGATGAAAGCGGAACCGAAGGTCGAAGTTGAAAGGTATGCGCTTTTTCCTTCCTGGTTTTCGTTCGCCAGTGTCCATTAAAATAAAAGCTAATTAACTTTAAAGTGTTTATTATTAATAGCTAAAAATATACGACGTAGAAATGAGCAAACGGAAATGAGAGAATCAGATAAATATGATTCACTTTGAAACTTATATCCGGAATCACCTAAACTTTCTTGTGGTGCGAAATGTTTCACTTATGTTTCGAAGTTTAAACGAAATTCAACTTCAGTAGAGTAGTTGCCTGTATTTTGAACTTTACGTACTGTACTTACTTACGTACGTACGTCACGGTTAGAGTATGGACGAGTAAATGTCAAGGTAAACGGTAATAGATGTCTCCGAGCTCATTAATTTTTTATGAAGTATCTCTAATAGCTCTAGTTGCGAGCAATATTATAGCACATGATACATAAGCTGATAACTAGATAACGATAGTAATGGTTTAGGTAACTCTATGAAGAAAACATTTATTAAGCGACTTAAACTTCATGGAAAACAGTTTTTATCTTCTTAATGTATGAACGCTTCTACGATATTATAGATAAATAAAAATAATGGTAACGTCGTTAAAATTGCAGGCTGCCGTCGCCGTCGAACACGCTCGACGACGGATCACCGCAGACGAGGCTCTATCTGGCGAACACCTCGCGACAGAACCTGGAGACGATCGTCGAGGCGATACGCCACCTCGAAGGGGACCATCTGTTCAGCGACGAGCCAGCGCAGGACGTGCCGCTGGCACTGACGAACAAACAGACGGCGAACGGTTCGAGCAAGGCGTCGGCGACGTCTAGCGCCTCGTCGACGGCGAAGCAGCGGCTATTTCCAGCCGAGTTCCTCCAGTTTCACAGGCAACAGTCGACCCAGCAGCGGCCGGGCGTGATCGTCGTTAAGCACTCGTGATCGAAAGGCGCGTCGCGATCGGCAAACTGAACGCGCGGTTCGCCTCCGCTCGAGAGTAATCACGGACGATCTAATTAATCGCGACGCGTCGACAGACGTTGACAGGAATACCTTCGACAAGTGTGCACGGTACACGTTTATAAAGTACTAGCCGAAAAGAACAGGGAGAAGAAGATGAAGAGGAGCGAGGGATATTCCTGCGACACGATTTTACGTTCACCAGTCTGGACACTCGAGCCGGAGGTTCAGTTTCCTCGAACACACGGGTTCGGGAAGGCGGCCTCCCTGCGTTGCGTTTGGCGTGTTGCAACCGCCGCGTCGGCCGATCGTTCCGACGTTACGCGTTCGCTCGGTCGGCGTTTTCGTATGTTCCTACTGCCCGTCGTCCGCCTTCGTTTCGACTGTACACCAATCTGTCCGTTTTTGTACATCCACTGAGATCTGCGCCAAAACCGTGGCCTCGTCCCCGTCGCGAGGACTCGAATTGGAAACGATCGGAATTCGTTGCCCGACAGGGGTCGATTGTCGATCTTCAAACGAATCGTAGTCGTGGACGAGCTGTACCGAACGCAAGAGAGATACGATCTGATTTCTTTGGAGACAGACTCGAGTCGTTTGGGGTCGAAATCGAAACGAAGGTAGGGCCAAAGTCGAAGCTCGACGAAAGAATCCTCGCCACCGGTCGTCGAAATGTTTCTCTTACACCCAAGACCCGAATTCACCTCAGTCCCGCCCTCTTCACCCGCCCCCGTCACCGACGCCTTCTTACGTTCATCCATTTCACACCCTTTGTTCCCTCGTCCCCTTCCCGAGTTCTTGTAAATACCACCGATGTATTAATCCCCTTTCACCCTTCTCGGTTCGCGTTCGCGTCCCGGTTCAGCTTTTTCATTCGATTATCTCTTCTTTCTTGTAACGAGGACGCGTCCGCGAAACCGCGTTCTCGAATCTCACGAAGGATTCACCATCTCCCGCCCCGAGAATCATCGTCCCCCGACCTCCCCTCCATCCTGCTTTCATTCGTTCGCGTATCGAGACACCGCGAAGCGGGCGTTTCTCTCCTCGTGTTACGGGGACTTTCATTCAGGATTTTCATTTACTGTTTTTCTTTATTTTTTTTTTGTTTCATAGACTTAAGGCGACTTGCTACCACAATAATAATTATTCCTAGATCGTAAGGCTGCGTATGCTGTATTGTACCGATGTATACATATGTACACACGATATATACGTATATACACACATACGCGCGCGCACACTGAACAGAGAGACACGCGTTACAAGATTACGATGTCCCTTCCCGCGATAGTGTATATACATATATGTATATGTATGTGTGTATACGTGTATATGTATATATATATATACATATATATACTTATTTACGTTCTCTTTTTTACATTGTTACAAGAATTCAAAGAAAAAAGGGAAAAAAGATGAAGCATCTAAGTAAAACTATTACATTATATAGAGAGACTTGTGACGACTCGAAGGAGATGAGGTTCAAAAACATTATTATTGACGAATGCCGTAAGGGTATTTTCTTATTACTATTTTTTTTTTTAATTTCTTTTTCTTCTTGTTCCTTTCCTTTTCGTTTCCGAAGTTCACACGCGTCGTTTGGCTATCGTTTGCGGACATCAAAGCATTTGGTTGACAAAACCTCGAATACGTTCAAACACGATCACGTGGACATACGATATTTCTTATAAAGATGCCGGCTTTTGGAAGAAAAAGTCAATTTTATGAAGTAATAAGATTGGTCCTTTTCGTCAGATGCAGATTCATTTTAATAATGCTCGTTCGCTATTATTTAACTCGGGAATCGAGACACTCTGATCGGTTTCATAATTGAATTATGTTCAGCCGTAGAACCATTGGTATAATGTATATCTAATTAAAACTCGGCATCTTTATCGTGCGCAAACAAGGTGGGCCGCTTAACTCGATCACTTGCAAACTGTTTGCACGATTCCTGATACGATTTCTATAATCAATATTTAAGATGTTCATTAGAACTCGAGGCATTTCGTCAAATGATAAACAGTTTCTAAGTGGCACGCGACGATCAAGCGACTCACTTTGCGTGCATTATCGATACGCGCTGGAAGTTTGCTATTTGGAACGTATTAAAGTGGAGTTGAACTCTTGAAACGGGAATTGTTTCCGCGAACCAATTTTCAGTGACACTTTCGAAGAGAGCAAATAAAGAATGAAAAGATGAAATTAAGAAGAGGCGTATTGTTATAGATACGTAGTTAGGGTAGGCGTTCTCGTCGCACCGCGTTGAAACGAGAGGAGCACACGCGGGTTTCCGAGGGATGAAAGAATTATGAGAAAAATTCCGTTTAGTGCCAAATATCGAGTAACCAGATTTTCGTTCCTTCGTAGATAGTAGTAGGGCTAGCGTGAAATAAGAATGAGGAAAGATATAATAGACAGATGACGATATCCTCCGACTCCTTTCTCGCAAGAACCGTTGCGTCCGGTATGCATTCAGACACTTGGTCGACTTACGAGACGTTTTTCTACCGCGTGTACACTTTTTTAATACCCCCGATTCCTTCTTTTCCCTTTCCTCGTCCACGGGTTGCTAGTACGTGACGCGAAAATTCGAAAAAGGAAAAAAAGAAAAACGAAAAAAAATGGTACATTAGAAAATTGTATATACGTAATATCGAAACGCAGAAGGCTGAATCACTGGGAGCAAATCACCATCCGTCGCTTCTCCGATCCTCGCTGGACACATCTTTTCCCATTTTTCTACCGCGATCACAGTTTTTGAACGGACGCGCGTCACTCATTGTTAGATTAAGGCGAAGACACGTGGAGAACGAGCGTGGAACCAGCTCGTGGTATCCTTTGATGATCCTTACGTGCCTTCTCGAGGAGAGGAATGATTGATTCGTATAGAGCCGAACGCGATGGATCGATTGAGCGAAACGGTGTACTACTGACGAGACACGTAAAAAATTCAACTACGTTCGAGCATTTACGTTGAACGAGTACCCGGAGTACGAACTAATGCCATTAGAAACTACCTGTATCGTCTTAAGAAACGTACTGAAAAAAACGAAACCATTAAAAATTCTGTTTTAAATAGGAATGAACATCGAGAGATGTAGCTAGTACACCATTTATACAGTTTATAGCAGTACTTGTTTGACTTTGAGTGCTCATTCAAAGCAGATATCTTACAAAAATGTATCTTCACTCTTACGTACAGTGATTTGTTCGTGTTCACATTATTAGGAGTGTAAATTAATTTTCGAATCGCTTTAAACAATTAACTACGTCACTTGTATCGAATGTGACAATTTCAATTTTGTATTCCAATCACTGAATTACTTTACACTTCTAATATCGCTTTCTTTTTCTCATCTTTCCTTTCTTCTTTTTGTATTACACATTTCTAATCTTGTTTTCATTCTCTTTTTCTATGAATGTGCTACACGATTACGACCAATTAAGCATGAACTGATAATCCAAATACAATCTAAACACAGTTTATGAACGGACTAATTATACCGACATAATAAACGTGATTTTTTTCCTTTTCTCTTAAGTTTCCGTACGTTTTATTTTTATCTCGACTCCTTTCGTTGCTGCCATGCGACAATTTTGTATCAGAACTACATTTTACGTTACACTCTCTCACTATTAAAGAAAAAGGGACGCGAGAAACAAGACACGTGGAAGCATATTATAGAGAAGAATTTAACTTTTAGATACCTCGTTGCAGTCTATTATACAGGCCGAGTCAAAGAGAGGCAAATTTTAAATATCCATTGATTCTCAATTATAAAAATAGAAGGATGAATTCGTTCGACTTGTGAAGTAAAAATATCGTAGGTATGGTTTAATAAAATCGTTAGATTAATTGAACGTATTGACTCAGTCTGTATAAGGGATTGTATGAGAGGACAGTAACGTAAACGACTTTAAGACACAAAGGACTAAACTTTAAGGAAGAGAAGAATTTTAATTAACGTTTTAGCGATTAGAGAAGTACGTAGGAATTGTTACTACTGCGCGGTGAGGATGCGGCGGACAAGTTATTAAAAAATATATTGTCTCTATGATAAATGTGAAAATGCTAATTCGTAATTGTACTGTGTGTATATAGGTATCTATTATAAAGTACATACGTTATTACCTAAGGAGCTACGTTCGGGGGATGATAAAGTCTGTGCGACGAACACGAAGGACTGTACAAGGATAATCACGCGAAAGGAAAAAGAAGAAAAGAAAAAAGAACAAAAAAATAGGACAGAGAGCGAGAGAGAGAGAGAGAATGAGACCGTCCGTCGTATCTGACGCGGGGATCGCGCGTCGAAGGAACTACAAAACTTTTTCTACCGCATGTTCATCGTTTTTCTACGATTTTCGACGTCTTTTCTCTCCGTTCACGCGTGAAGGCACACATTCCGTTGCGCGACGCGCCAGGCACGACGGACAGTCCGCCGTTTCTATTAATAAAATAGAGTAATGATCGATAGAAATTTAATTGATTAATAAAAGAGAAGAACAGCAGTTATTAAAAGTCGTGCGACGAAAGTGTAATTAACGGGAGTTTGATAATGTCGTACCTTGGAAGATATGAAGTAATATATTTAAGAGTGTAAATGTACAAATCGTGATTCGCGCTGAGGTTGCACGAGGGCCTAAGAAATCGGGACACGAGTTCCCAGTCTATCATCATTTCTTCTGTTTCTTTTACTCCAATCGTTTGATCAAAAACATGAGTGCATGCATATCTCTGGTGCCTCTTACAATGCCTCGTTGATTATAAGCCCCTCATTCTCATTAGTCAATCAAGTTATTCGACTGATCAATAAAAACTATACATTTTTTATTCACAGAACAATGAAATATGAATTGTTTTCAATGATGCATTTTAATTCTGAACGTCTATTTACAATATTTATATTGAATGTGCATAGAAAAAGAGGAACGTATTATCATAAAATTTTAAATTCCATTTAAAACGATTTAAAATTATGCAACATGATTAATAAATGTAACAGCGGAGAAGTTGGAAATAATTTTTCGAATCATCATGAATTTCATGTGCTTTGAACCTTAGCTTGAAAGTAAATCAACTTAAATTAATGAGAACGAGGCGTACCGGTCATTTCATGTATTTATTTTCC